CCATTAGTTCGCGGGGCACTCGCATAAATTCCCCTTGGCTAGGCGATATGTTTCCAAGTCTGATAGTGAATATGATTAGAGAGCACTTGCATAACTTTCCCTCGACTAGTTGGAATATTTCAAAGTTACACAGACGCATTGAGTCGTCAGGCACTCGCAAATCTTGCCCTCGACTTATCGGAAAATTTCAATTGCGACAGTCGCATTGAATCGTGAGATACTCCTGCAAATTTCCCCGATCTGGTAGGAATATTACCAAGTTCGATAATCGCATTGGTTCACAAATCACTCACATACCTTTCCCTCGACAAGAGGAAATTTATCTTATTCCAACAGTCGTATTCGTTCGAGAAGAACTCGTATAATTATCCCTCTTTTATTCGGAATATTTTCAAATTCGAATGTGGTATTGGTTCAAGAGAGCCACTCATAACTTTCCCTCGATTCGTTGGAATATTTCCAAGACAGACATTGGTTCGAGAGGGCCTCGTATAACTTTCCCTGGACTAGTCGGAATATTTTTATATCCGAGAGTCGCATTAGTTTACAAGTCACTCGAATAACTCTCACTTGACTAATAGGAATATGTCCAATTCCGACAGTCGAATGGTGCGTGTGGCACTCGCATAAATTTCCCTTGAATGTGCGGATTATTTCCAAGTCAGACAGTCGCATTGGTTCGTGAGCCACTCGCTCAACTCTTCCTCGACTAGTGATAATATTTCCACGTCCGACTTTCGCATTACTGCGAGAGGATCACGCATATCTTTCCCACAACTTGTCGGAATTTTTGCAAGTCCGAGAGTCGCATTAGTTCGGGAGACATTCGTATAACTTTCCCTCGACTAGTGGAATATCACTAGGTCCGTCAGTTGCATTGATGCCAGAGGTACTCGCAAAACTTTCCCTCAACTAGTCGGTACATTTCTAAGTCCGATAAACGCTATCGTTCACAACTCACTTGCATAACTTTCCCTCGACTAGTCAGAATATGTCTAAGTCCGATAGTCCCATTGGTTCACAAGTCACTCGCATAACTTTCCCTCGGCTAGTTGAAATATTTCCAAGTCCGAGTGTCGCATTGTTTCAACAGACACTCGCATGACTTTCCTACGACTCGTCGGGGTATTTCTAAATCTGACAGTCCTAAGTTATGATTATTATGGATTTTATATTCATTATTATGATTATTATGATTATTATTTTGGTAATTACGGTTATCATTATGCTTATTATAATTATTAGTGTGAATGCTATTCTGAATTTTATTGTTATTATGAATATTACTATGATTATTATGGTTATAATGATTATTATTAATATTATTATTATAGTTATTATCTATATTATTATGCTTATTAAAATCATTATTATTATTAAGATCATTATTATTATGGCTATGATTATTATGATTATTATCATTATTGTGATCATTATTATGACCATTATGATTATTATGATTATAATTATGATTATTATAATATTATGATCATTATTATGGCTTTTATTTTTATTATGTTTATCCGTTTTTGTCCCAAGCAGCACGATCGCGCTGTATAGATTTTATGTCGAGAAAACCCAGCATATCTTGATCATTGTGGACAACTGACGGTGGCGATTGTCAAATTTTTCAAAGCGATGAAAAAAATACGAGAATCACGTTTCTTACCTCAAACATGAAGCGCTATCGTGCTGCTCAGTATTTCTCAACATAAAATTAATCTAGCGCCATCACGCTGCTTGGATATTTTCAAACATATATAGGCACAGTGCGGTTGCGTTTGGAATTCTTCGACAGTGTTTCTTCAATACCGTCTAGGATTCAAACGGTAATTGTGAATATTATTAGGATTAGCAATAAGGTTATTAATATTATTATGGTTATTATTCTGATTACTTTGATTATTTTCATGATTATTGTTATTATTATTATCAAGATGATTAGTATGTTTATTAAAATTATAATGAGTTATATTATTCTTATTAGCATTATTATGGTTATTATAATCTTTATGATAATTGTTATAGTTATTTTGATTATTATTATCATTGTGAGTATTATTATTATTATTATGATTATAAATATGATTATTATGTTAATTATATTTATTATTACGATTATTACATTTATTATGATAATTGTTATGAATATAATGTTTATTATGATTTTTATGGTTATTATTAAGTTTAATACATATATTATGCTCATTAATGTGATTATTATTATAATTATTATTAAGATTATTATTATAATTGTAATTATTATTTTTATTACTATCATTGTGGTTATTATAGTTATTATTGTGATTTTTAATTGTATTATGATTATCATTAAGATTATTATGTTTATTATTAGTATTATTATGATTATTATGATCTTTATGATTATTATTGTGATTATTTACTTTATTATGATTTTTATTATGATTATTTTGTTTATTATGTTTATTATGATTATTATTGTTAATGTGCTTATTAGTATGTTTATTTTTATTGTTAATATGGTTATTACGATTATTATTTTGTTTGTTATGATTATTATAATTATAATTAAGATTATGATTGTAATTATAACTATTAATAATATAATTGTGTTTATTATGGTTATTATTAAGATTTTTAAGGGTATTAAGATTATTTTTATTATTATTATGATTTTTGCATTTATTATCATTATTACGATTAGTATTATGATTATTGATTTTATTATGTTTATTAATATGATTATTATGATTACTATGATTATTAAAATTATTAAGATTATTATTATGATTATTACGATTTTTATAGTTATTATGAGTATTTTTATAATCATTATAGATATTAGAATTATTATTATGTCTATTATGATTATTTTTATAATTATAATGATTATTATTATAATTATTAAGAGCATTATGTTTATTATTATAATTATTATGACTATTACTATTCTTATTAAGATTATTACGGTTATTTTATTTTTTATGACAATAATTATGATTTTTTTCAAAAGTAACATGATTTTTATGATTTTTTTCATGGTTATTATTCAGTTTATTATTATTATTACCAACATTTTTATAGTTATTATAATTATTATTATAAGTATTATCGTTATTATGATTATTACTTTGATTATTATGATTATTATGGTTTTTATAAACATTATTATGATTTTTATGGTTATTTTGGTGGTAATTATGATTATTATTATGATTATTATAATTTTTGTGACTATTACTATTCTGATGTGGATTAATATGGACAATTTACTTTTTTTTATATTTATTATGATTATTATGATAATTACCATCATTATAAATATTATTATGGTCATAAGTTTATTATTAGTTTCTTTTTGCACATAATGATTATTCTGATTATTATTATGTTTATTATGATTATTATTTTTATAATTATTATTATTATATTTATTATGGTTATGTTATTAATAATATGGTTATTATGATTAGAATTGTGATTATTATTTCTATAATTATCAGATTTATTACAATTATTAAAGACATTATGAATATTATTATTCTTTTTATGAATATGGTTACGAATATAATGAACACTAATGTAATTATGATTAATATTATGATTATTATTAAGATTATTATGATTACTATAAATATTATTATGAATATTAATAATATGATTATGTTTATAATTATTATGATTATTATGATTATTACTATGACTATTATGATTTTTATTATATTTATCATGATTGTTAGTATGATTATAATTTTGATTACATTGACTATTTGAATATTAAAATGATTAATATGATACATAAGATTATTATTATTAGTGTTAACTTTATTATGATTTTTATTATGATTATTATTATTGTTAATATAATTATTATGATTATTGAGATTATTATCTTTATCAACATTATTAAAGTTATTATATTAATTGTAATTATTTTTATGATTACTATCAGCATTATTACGCTGAATAAAATCATTACGATTCTTATAATGATCATTATGATTATGATTATGATTATTATTATTATTACAATTATTATGATTATTATTAATCTGATCAATATTATTATGAATGTCATATTAATTATGATAATTATAATTATTGTAATTATTATGATTATTATTCTGATTATTATGGAAATTTTTAGTTTTATTATGGTTATCAAGAATTTTATTAAGTTTATTAAGGATATTATCATTGTTATCATGATTATTATGGTTATTATTATGGTCTTTATGACTATTATAATGATTAATATGACTATATTTATTAGTATTATTTGTATTATTATGATTGTTATTATGATTATTATTATTAATAATTTTATGACTCTTATGGATGTTTTTATGATATATATGGTTATTAAGATTATTGTGATTATTACTATCATTGTTGTTATTATGATTATTATTATAATTAATAATATTGTTAGTATTAAGGTTATTATTCCAGTCATTATGATTTTTATGATTATTATTATGATTATTATTATTATCATTATCCTTGTTGTTGTTATTACGATTATTATTATGGTAATTGATTGTTATTAATTTAATTATTATTGTTAATGCGATTATTATATTTACTATGTTTTTTAAGATTATTATTAACATTATTAGGTTTATTATGATATTTATTATGGTCATTATGAATTTTCTTATGATTATTTAGGCTATTATAATTTTTATAATGATTATGATGATTATTATTACGATTTTCATGATTATTATTATGGTCATTTTGATTACTATTATAATTACTATGATAATTACGCTAATTAAAATGAATATTATGGTTATTATATTTGTTATTATGATTTCTAGGATTATTATTGTGGTTAATATGACTATTATTGCTATTACTATAATTATTATTATGATTGTTGTCATTATGGTTATGATTATAATATTATTATTAATATTATTTTGATAATCATGATTATCAAGGGAACTTGCTGCCAGAATGGAAGTTGAACATGCAATAATATTACATCTTTTTGAAAGTGACACGGTGAAAAAATGGATAAATGGATACCGCACGAACTAACCGAGTAAAATAAGCTAGACCGCTTGAACATATGCTCATCGTTGTTAACCCGATTTAATCGCGATCCATTTTTCGATCGGATCATTACTTGTGATGAAAAATGGGATCTTTACGATAATAGGACAAGGTGTGCTCGGTGGCTTGATAGGGATGAAGCTTGTCCTCATACTCCATGGCCATCACTTCATCCACGGAAAATTTTAATCACAGTTTGGTGGAATGTGACTAGAGTAATACACTACTCATTCCTTCGAATTGGAATGTCAATTAGAGCCGGAAGGTATTGCCAGTATATTGAAGAAATGCATGAAAAATTGAAATTACACGCACATCACTTGTTAATCGGCGTGGCCCAATACTTTTCCATGACATCGCTCGGCCGCATACATCGTACAAAGCAATTGCGAAATTAAATGAATTGAAATATGAAATTTTGCAGCACCCACCGTATTCACTGTATCTTTCGCCAACCGACTTTCATTTAAAACTGTTTTTACGGGCTAAGAAGTACGAAAAGGAAGACAGACTGAAAAATGCCATTTCTGAGTTCACTGATTCTAAAGATCAGAATTTCTTCAAGACAGGCATATATACATTAAAATCACGTTGGGAAAAGTGTATTGATGTAAATGGAGCATATTTTGAATAA